CCTGTCTTGGCTGTGTTTTAGTGGACTAGTATTTTGTAAAATATAATCACATTTCACTTATAATACATTATTACTATTTACAAATAAGTTCTTAAACTTATTTTTCTTAAAACACAGAACAGTAAATAAATAAATAAGTATAGCAAACAATTATATCTTCTAATTACGACCGTTGTACTCACTTGTTGGTTGCTGTAGGTTGCTAAGCCTTATAAAATTTTGCAGTTGGAGGATGTGAAACAAAATATTTTTAAGGTTTTATATATACATTTGAAATAACCATAAAATGTTAGAATAATATCCTTTTCTGTGATTGGCTTGACTCAGAATTATTACCTAAAAGGCTACATGTAATATTTTAAACTTTATCATATCCTAGGCAGACAGATTTGATAATATGACATTTTGCAGTTCAGGTCCTTGTAAAGTACACACAGAGGTGGAGTGTTGAGTTACAGTTGGACCAAGACACATTAAGAATTTGTTATGCGTACAATTTTTTTAAGCTTTAAAGATTATTTAAATTATTCACTTCTGAATCAGAACAGTTTATTGTTGTTACCCAGAGAGTACAATGACATAAAGTACTAATTATTCCAAATTTCCCTCACAATTTTGGATAGTTTATGTGACATTAACAATGGTATACTAAAACATTTATGTTTAATCCTAACATTTTACATATATTAATTAGCCCAAATGTTCAGTTATTAAGTATTAGTAAAAGGATGATTTAATAATATATTTTCCTATTTGTAGAATAGTTAGTGAATTTCTTCTAAGCAAGTGTACATTCTTCATTGTTGTATTGAAGTGTCTAGTTTATCATACATTTGTTTCTATACCTATATACTAAGATTTTCTTTCATGTTTTAAGTCTAACTAGTTTTTCTATATTCACTACTCCACTGTTGATTTTAAAATTGCAACTAAATGTTGAAATTGCGTTGGCTGCCAATCTAAAGTTCGTCTGTATTAATGACACATGCTGTATGATCTTATTACATCTGAAACTGATAATCCATAAAAAATAACAACTGAAGATGCAAATATGGTAAGCTATGACATAAGATGAATTATGTGTTGCACCATGCCTTCAATCATAATTGTTCTAAGAAGAATTTTATGTTCCATCCTATTTCAGAAAAAACAGCAATAAAAAATAAACATTAAAAATGTACAAACAAAGCTATCAATACCACATCATGCAAGCTTCAATCACTAAACTTTTTTCTTGCTAAATTTATAAACAATAGATATTTATAGAAAAAAAAAGTAGTGCACATACGTGAACAGTAATGAAAAAAAAACCTTCCATGGACAAAAAAGGGTTAATGTCTGCAATAAAGATATTACTTACCTGTATTTTTTTTTGTAATATATTCTAAAGGTATGTTTCCAAAAGTAGTACTAAAACCAAATTGCCTTTCATTTGTTGTTTTTATAAAACTGTTTGGTTTATATTATGAATAATGCATAAATTATTTTTCTATCAGATTAGTTTAACAAAAGTTTTAAACAAAAGCTCAATTTTGCTTATTCATAAATGCTTGGTTCCTTGTGAACTCGTGTTTGAGCTCATGGCTACAATGTTGCCTACAGTTTAGTATACAATACTTAAAGAAAACTTTACCTTTAAAATCATCTAAATTATGTTCTTTTTTTTGTTAATCACAAAATATTTTTTAATTTATAAGTGGTAACTTTAACAAAATATTTTAGAATTGCTTAATTACTAAATATTTTCGTGATTTCACGTATGTTCTGTGTTCTTGACAATCTCTCAGTGTTAAGCTTGCCTAAAATAATGTAGTAGAATTCAAGTAACATAGTGTACAATAGAGTATAAAGATGTTTAAGGAAGAGAAATAAGAAGTATCCGGTGAAGACTGTTTACTATTCTTTTAAAACTGGACTTGTGTCTACCTCTTGATAAAGCCATAAGGTACAACATTGAGGAAGTAAATAATTTTCACTGGCTACTGACTGTTTCTTTTCACTGAAATATACTGATGATTGATGTGTACAGATACACATTTCTGCAGTGTTTCAACAGTCTGACTAAACTTGGGTATATGCTCATAACAAGGCAGCAGAAATAACAAATGATTGGCCTACTCAGGCAAAAAATAAAAACTAGTAGAAAAGTGACTGGTAGTAGTACACTTATGAAAGTTTCTTAAACAACAAAGACATAATAAGAAATAATTCAAGCTCTGTGCTCTATTGACTCTAGAATGACTAACTGAATATTGAAGTTTGCAGATGACATTAAGACTTTTGGGGTGAGTAACTGTATCAAAGATGCTACAGACTTACAGGGAGGTTT